AACTTTAGGTATAATCTTTTCTAAGCAATTATGATGTATTTTAATTTACATTTATCCTCAAAACCAAAAAACAGAGGCGAGTTACGAGTACAAGCCTGAATTATTAGCAAAGGAGAATTGGTGATGCCGCCAGAGCCTGGGACATCGTAAAGCAGCTCTTCAAAGCAAGGGAACGGCGGCTGAGGGCTGACTCCAAATTCCGCAAGCGACACGTCAGCATCAGCCTCGATGAACAAAACTCCCTCGCCAGTGCACTCCACCACAAGTTTCCTGCCGGTGAACTCTCTCACCCGCCCGGCCAATGGATAATAGTAAACCAACGCCCTTGAGACAGCTGCCCGAATAATCCTAACCGGGTCTTTTCCTTCCATTGATGGGCTTTTGCCATATATTTGCATGAATGGCGTATGGAAACGGAGGCCCATTTGATCGTCTATGTCGGAAAGAGATTTGAATTCGTGGGGTGTGGGCTTTGCTGGCCGGAGAAGCTCCGGGTTTTTTCGGGTCACTTTGAAAAAACTCGGAACTTTCACGGGTAATGACATTTTTGGGCTTTATAGGGAGATGTTGTGAGCTTGGGTGATATGAGAGGGTATGTGAAGCCACACTTTATAGAGGTTGTCAAGGGACTGTGCATCTCGCAATGGGATTCGCATGCAAACAACTATTACATTTTTTTCAAAGTGAAAATAGAAAAAAATCAGGAGTGATATTCTCAAAAAAATTTAAAAACTCAAGGATAAATAAAGGATGAAATTAAGGTGCCAATTGACCGACAAGTCATGGATGGTTTGTTTGGTTTCATATATTTTTATAGTTATTTTCTTTTTTTGGACATATTTTGGGTTTTGGCTGCCCCATTGTACCATCAATATTTAATGCCACACAGCTTGGCATAGGACCATATTTGTTTAAAACTTTAAAGCATGTGGAGAAAACTCTTTCCATATTAGGTGATATAGAAAAGCCGATTTCTATTCATTGTACTTGAACCGATATAGAAAGTATTGAAATTGATATTTTATATTTTTCTTGCACCTATTTAATTGAACCAATTGTACAATCAATACAAACAAAAAACAAAAATAAAAGACATTTGCTAAGATTGGTTCATTAAAATTAACAATAATGCTAAGAAGCCAACTGTTGGCTCCATAGCATTACTCTTAAAATTAATACCGTTTAACAATGATGGTTTGTTTGGTTTCGTATTTTTATCTTTATTTTCTTTTTTAATTTTTTTGGACATATTTGTTGTTTTGGGTGCCCCATTGTACGAATCAATATTTAATACTACACAACTTGACATGGGACCATATTCGTTTATAGTAACTATAACCTTTCCATATAAACTGATACTGCATATAAAAATGACTACATTCTACATACTCTTATACAGATTTTATATCGATTCATCTGAAAAGCTGATACGGAATACTTGATATAGAAAATATGTACTCTATATCGGGTAAACAAATACCCAGAAAAGTGTCTTTTTATATGCGTTACAATTCGCAACCAATATAGAATAGCCGATTTCTATGTATTCTAGGTGAACCGATATATATAGGAAGTATTGAAATTGTAATTTTTTTTTTCTTGCACCTATTTAATTGAACCAATTGTACCATCAATACAAACAAATCTCCCGTATATATAATTCTCAAATTGTTGAGTCTAAGTAACAGACTTACACGTTTTGGAATCCTATATGACAAAAAAATATGTTTCGTAACTAGGCTTAAATATATATTAATATCTTTTGTAAAATAATAAGTAGACTTGAATTGCATTAAATATCTATATGAGACACATTAAATTTTTGATTGATCTCTTCCTTTTTTTTCTTGTACAATTAGTTACAATAAACTATTTTACATCTCCTTTTCCTACATTACCACATATTACATTTTCTATTTAATTAATATACCAATTATTATAAATGTGTCTTCTTAGTTTGAAAATTTTATAACTTTTTTTTTGTTTGAATTTTATGTTTTATATATGATTTATAAAATTAATTATATTTTAACGATATTCGATTTGACATACATATTACATAAAATACAAAACAGTGATATATATTCTTATAAATAAATTTTACACTGTTTTATCAAACAAAATTAAAAAATACAAAACAAAGCTATAAATTATTTTATGAAGCAATAAAAATTTATTTATATAAACGTATCATAAAATATTTATTTTAATTAAAAATAATATATATAAACTATGCATGAACATAAAATAAGTGAAAAACAATATTTTAAAATTTATGTCTCAACTTAAATAACGACTACAAAGAGATTGAACATTATAATGATTTAAAGATTTGAAAAATATTAATTATAATTAAAAATATTAAAAATAATTATTATATTTCATAAAATTTAAAAATATTACACCCATACACATTATATTTTAAAATATTGAATATTATAAAGTTGAAGATATTAAAAATTACAATAGATGAGGGATGAAAGATTGTGTATATAAAATATCAATCAAACTTGAAAAAATAAATTAATTCAAACTAAATTTATTGAGTTGTAGATAATATGTCTGTGTGTGTTTGTGTGTTTTAAATAAGATACCGTTTTAACAAATTGAGTGAAATATAGGTATTATTTAAATAATTAATTTTGTTAATTATTTAATTATTAGTTTTATACTTACTTTTTTATCATTATATTATAAGAATATAAATTTATTTATTATTTTTCATATATCAATATTTTATTTTTATTTTAATGCACCTCTGTTATTCACATACGTTATATTAACTGCATAATAAATTAACATTCTATTTAATTTTAAAAAAAATGAATATATCTTAAATAAAATAAATAATTTCATACAAAATGTTTTCTAGAATGTAAAGTAATATTACAAATTCTTAAACTTTTTTATTAATTAGTTATTATTTTTATTTCACAATAAGAATTTTATTTCTTTTAATTTTTTTGTTGCATAACTAATGTTTTCCTTAAATGCCCGTGTAGTACACGGGCGTTGTACTAGTAAACAAAAATAAAAAAAATTACTAAGATTAGTTCAATAAAAATAATACCGTTTACCATTTTTCAAAAGGCTAACAATACTAGCGGACTCAAATGTTTCAACATACACCCACGAATTATTCCGAACGAAAGCCTACAGTTTCCTACTTTGCTAGTGAGGTGATATCAAGAAAATACTTGATCCACCGTCTCCGTATATCATCAATTTCTTCTTGCAAGTATATCTCCCAAATCAAACACATAAAATTAAAAAACCATAAATAACATAAGATCAAGACTGAAAGAACATAATATTTACTTTAAGATAATATAATACTCTTAAGTGTTTTATTATCATTATCAAAAAATTACACTTACCCTACGCAAGGGGGAGTGGTATTGTTGCCGTCACATGTTCCAGGCTCACTACCTTTTAACCTATATTACCTTCAATTTTTGGAATTAAGGCCCACCACTTTTTTATGGAATTAATAATTAATAAGAGTCCAAAAAACAACTCACATGTTCCAGGACCTTCTGTTTTTATGGAATTAATAAGAGTCCAAAAAACAACTCAAATGTTCCAGGACCTTCTGTTATTATGGAATTACCACCACCTTTCAACCTTACCTGCAAGGCTGCATACATACAAAAAAGAAAAAGTCAGCTATATACTTCTTTTCAAATTCATATGTTAATGTATGCACTTATATATCTGCAGATACAATCGTTATATTGATATCCATGTCCACATGTGTAAGTTGTATTTATGATGTATAATAGAACACAATTTAATGGACCATTAAGAACTTTGAAAGGTAAGTGAGATACAGATTCTCATGTACAGCAATTCTGACTTCAAGGAATCCACATGACTAGATATAAATCTGATCAATTGACACAATTTCTCACATAGAAACTAGTTATATGAATTCCGGGTTTTAACATGTTCTCTTTTATTGGATGTCTGCATAATCCCATTCTGAATCGAAATGTAACAAATTTATTTGAAAAACAAACAGAAAACAGAGTCTGGTTTGTCAATTCAATTTGTTACATAAGATGCATGGATACAAATTTTCTAAAAAAAAAAAATTTCAAACATTTTTAACTCAACCATTTTTTTTAACTCAACTTTAACCCCCACTATCATCAATATTATCAATATAATTAAACAGTGTTCTAAAAGTCGCTAGGCGCCCGCTAGGCGCTCGACCAGTGCCTAGCGCCTAGAGCGCCTAGTCGGGGCCCAGAAATCAATAGTAAATACCTTATTTTTTATTTATTTTAACTACCTACAAAATAATATTATCTCAACATATAATAAATTCACACACCAAAGTCCAAATAATAATACTAATATATATTATAGAAAACATGAGAACAAAATAATGTAATTAGTATTTAAAAAAATAAAAAAGAAATTAAAAAAAAATTAAAAAATTGCCGCCGAGCCCGCCTAGGAGCGCCTAGGTCCGCCTAGACGCCGCCTAACCGCCTGGCCGCCGAGCCCGCCAAGGCCGCCTAGGCCCGCCTAGGCGCCGCCTAGCCGCCTGACCGATTTTTTCTGCCGATTTGTACAAATCGGAGGCGCCCGGGCACCGCCTAGCGCCTAGGCGGCCGCCTAGGCCAATTTTTAGAACAGTGTAATTAAATAATATCAACTAATCATTCTTAAACATCACATCAACTTTAATTCACTATTTATCTACTCACATAATTTTAACTAATCATCACTTCAAATAATCTCTCACATATTTTTACATTAAATCAACTTTAATTATTTTATTTTAAATATTATTTTAATATACTCACTAACAAGTAACCTTACCACATTTTTAAAACTAGTAAAGTGCACGTGCGATGCACGTGATATCGAATTATTTTTGTTGAGTAAGTTTGTAAAATAAATTAATTTATTTATTAAACATATCATTGCAGGAATGAAATAAAATATAGAACAAATGAATTCATATGTGATTTTTTTAATTTATAATTAGCGTAATGATGTCCTAATATAAAAAGAGTGAAATAACGTTTTACAACTCTCAACTAAAATATATAAAAAACAAATCCTTAATATAAAAACCACTAAGATTTTCTTTCATCTTTCTTATAAGAAACATTCATACTCGTTGGAGTCTAATACATCAATACTATTGCAAAATTTCTCTTAATTCATTTGGTAAAACGCTAATTTTATTCAAACATTTAAGAAACATTCTGACCCAACATATAGTCAAACTTCATGATCGTATAAACTTTATAATAAGGTACTTCTACTAACAACGCATAAATATCTCTATAAAATAACTAATTGTGTCATTAAAATTGCTGGTATTTTTTTATCATTGTATAAACTACTACATTCCTTTGTCTCTTGACATATTGGTGTCTACCCCATTGATGCATCGGCCCACGAGGTGGGAATGAATTTTATCCACAAAAAAAAGTTGACTTTCCAAAATTTTGGTTACATATACTTCTCCCGAGGTGCTAAATTATTTTTTGAAATCATCATACATTACCTGAAAGTACTTCTAAAGTAATTGCACATATGTTCGAGTACAATATACCAATGAGATTATAAATATTTCTATAAAAAGTGACAACTTCATTCGAACATTCAAAATTGTTTTGATGCTCCGACATTGTTATTTATTTGAAATATAGACGAACAATATAATCTATTATTTGAAAATTATTGACCATCATGTGGTTGTTGGAATGATTTTAGAATTGTTTATCATAATATCTTTCACATTCGTTTGAATATGCAATATTTGTGTGTCTAATAACTTCTTTAATGTTTTTATTGTCCAACATTATTCATCATACAAAATGATTATAAAATTCAAGATAAAGATCATTTCTTTATTCTTTAACAATGACAAAACAAAACAATCAAAACAATGAGAAAATATTGAGAAACATATCATTTGTTAAAATTTGATAGGAAAAGAGTTAGAATTCTATTATATTCGATACTCTTAGTCATCTGCAAAGTTTATTATTATGGAGTCATGATTAAAATATACATTATGTATTACAATTTTTTTGATTTTTTAATTATTTAAAATTAAAATTAAATAATATAGGATCATTATTTATGAAAACCAATATCTTACAGAGTCTCTATATTTAAACGGTAGCAGCAAAAAAGTAGTAATTTTCAAAGACTTTTTGTTCGTAAATATTGGTATTCATACGTCTCTAAGAAAATTCACACGTATTCTTTTTCTCAGTGTGTTACTATTATATTATTTGTTTCTTATTCTATATATAAATAATATTTTATTTGCTAAATAATTAAAGCACATTTATATGTATTGCGTTATTTTTTGTATGTGTTTTATATAATGATGTTTTCAAATTATCTTTTTTATTAGGCTGCAACTACTATAATCACATAAGATATAATGTAAATTTAATATATTTGATAAAAATGTACTTTTTATACGAATTATTAGATTAAAAAATTTACAATTTTTTCAATGTTTGATAAAATATTAGGTAACTAAGTCATTTTCATAATCACTAAATACATATATCGTACCACCTTTATAGGGTTTTTTTTCAAGCAGTAATTGAATAATAGTTTAACGTACAACTCATTTATTTGTCTTTTTAATTCACATAGCTAATGTTATCTCATTTCCCTTCTCTGGCCTAGTCTTTTCCTTTTTTTATCTATGATTTCACTTTGCTTCGCTTCGTTTGTACCTAAGGTGCATTCGCCATAGTTTCAGCATTACGGCAAACCATTGTCAAATATATATCGGGAATGGGCGCTCTAGCCAAAATGTGGGAATAGTTGTAAGTTTACCTCAATTTTTTTTATGTTATTTTTAATATGAATTGTTTCAAATCTATGTAAGAAAAATGTAAGAAAAATATACCACAAGTTTATCTTATGTTATTTTATACTTAATAAAATTGATTTAACTTGAATAAATAAATTAATATATACTATAATTTTAGGTCAATTTATTATTTTAAAATTATTACTGATATATATATATATATATATATCGATATAAATAATTATATTATTTTTATTTTATTTGCAATATATTGGTCAACTCAAACATTATTGAAAAGAAATAATGTGATATATTACATATAAAAAGAGTAACAAATAAAAAATATGAAGTATCTCAAAATTAAAAAATTTAATGAGAGAAAGTAATTAAATTTTTAACTAAAAAATTTTAAGATTAACATACCCAATTTTAAAGAAATGTATACCTAAAAGTTCTAGTTAAAACATATGTGTATCTTAAGTATGTTTTATATTTCTCATTAGCCAGCTCCAATTGATATTGTACATTATGTAATTTTATCAGTATTTTTACTCTTTGATTTAATGAGAGCGATAAGTTTTCTCATCATTCTGACCCCTTATTTAGTTATTATAATACTAATAAAATAATTAAGGACCTTTCAAAGTATCTTGTTTGTTTTGAAACAAAAATTACTTATTATCACAAATTAAACGACAATTACATTGAATGTGTTATATTTTCTACCATATAAAAATTTTCATAATAATATGCAATTTTTTTTTATAGATTTGGAGTCCTACTTTTACGACATGAAAATGAGAAAATTCCAACAAAATTTACAACAAGAATATAACGATCTTCTTAAGTTGAATTGAGAAAAATCATGTCTTTTGGTTTCTTAAATATATTTTATCTTATTGTGACTATATTGATTTATTAAAATGTATTACAAAATGAGAAAGGTGATAGATTAATTTATAAATTACAATGACATGTTATTTTGATGGTATATTTTTTCTATTAACTAAATAATGCCCCCAATATGAAATTATTTTAGATCTATCACTGCAATTAGCTTTCCAATGGAATTTCCATTGAATTTTTGCACAATTCCAATGACAGTTTTTCCAACGATTGAAATATGGTCCAAAAAAAATCCAATGGAAATTCAAGTAATTGAAATCTTTAAATCCACTAAAGTTCAAGTAATTTAATTTGAACTTTGTTGGAATAGCCAATGAAATTTTCCAATGAAAGCAATATTTATGAAATATTAGTTGGAATTTTCTGTAGATTACCTTACCATTGATTTTTCATTGCAATATAGCAATTTGTTGTAGTCCTCTTAAACATTAATTTTTTATGTAGTATTTATTGATTAATTGTGTTTACATTTTTTCTATTAAAAATATATTAAACACATGAACTTTTTAGTTCCTATATTTTTTTTTTCAGAAATTACTCATTATTTTATCTCAAGATTACCTATTAATTTACCAATCGAGTTACATTTCTTATATATTAAATATTTAAAAATTAGAATATTTCCTATTTTATATGTTCAATATGATATTTATATATTATATTAAAAAAAACTAATATAGAAAATAAAAAGTTATTTAAAATTAGAATAATAAAGATTTTTTTTTGGTAACTTGCATGGATAAATGTACAAATAACTATTGTCTATCACATCAAGTTTACACATAAAATTATAAGGACAAAAAACTAACAAGCGTTTAACAACTCAGCTCGTTTACGTCGATAAGTATATTTATAGAAGGTTTATATTTCTTCTATTAATTATAACATTTTTATTTATTACTTTGTTTCATTAATATTAGTACGTGTCACAACTTATTTATTTTTAATATTATTTATCATATTTAATATTTTTTTAAAACTTTTATCGTGTTCTTTTACATGTTCTTAACTGTAGATTTGTCAAAAAATGCATGATATAAAGTCTAGAATTGTTTCGACCATCTGTCACATTATATATCAATTATTTGTATATCTTATATTATATTATATTTAATTACAATTTTTTTTTAATTTATACTACAATTAAATATTTGTAATTCATAAATTCGTCAATAATATTGTCAAGTCAACTTTTGTTCATAAAATTTTAAAAAACATAATTATTTTCAATTATATGCTTATGTCAAATTGAGAAAAGTTATTTTTTCTAATTGTAACTGTATTGATGTGTAACATATATTATAGATGAGAAAGATGACAAATTATGAAAAATATAATTTATAAATTATAATGACATTATGTTATTTTACTGGTATACCTTTTCTATTAACTAAATAATGCCTCAAGTATGAAATTATTTTGTATCCACCAATGAAGGTAGTTTCGAATAAAACTTCCATTGAAATTCTTACATTTCCAGTGACATTTTTTCCAATTGTTGAAAAATGACTCGAAAAAAATTCAAACGGAAATTCACACAATAACAAATAATGATAACTGGATTATTTAATAAAATTTCAATATAATGTAATTTGATCTCGGAATAGTCAATGAAATTTTACAATGACAGCTATACGAATAAAATATCATTTGGGATTTTCAGTGGATGTCTTACCGTTGGATTTTTCATTGCAATGTACCATTTTTTTATTCCTTTATAAATTATATTTCTTAAGTAGAAGTTTTTAATATTAATTATATGTATTTATAATTTTTCTATTAAAAATATATTAAACACATGAACTTTTTAATCCATATATTTTTTAGAAATTGCTCATTATTTTATCGCAAGACTATCTATTAACTTATCAATTGAGTTACATTTCTTGCACATTAAATATCAAATAATAAAAAATATTATTGTATATATATAGTATGGTATTTATATATTATATTAAAAAACTAATAGCAAATAAAACGTTATTTAAAATCAAAATTATCAAAGCTTTATTTAAAAAAATAAAAGTAAATTTCTAACCTACATGGATAAAAGTATAAATAACTATTGTCTATCGTCTAAAATTTATACATTGAACTAATAAGCGCAAAAATTTAACATGTGATGAACAATTTGGCTCATTTACATCGATAAATACAAACTTAAAAGTTCTACAAATACTTTTACTAATTATAATATTTTTATTTATTACTTTTTTTCATAGTTATTAGTAAGTATTACAACTTAGTTATAAATTAAATATTATTTATTAGATTTATTGTTTTTTTAACTTTAAACTGTTCTTTCATATGTATTTTAATATATATGTGTGTGTGTGTGTATAACTTTTAGGTTTGTTAAAAAATACATAAAATTAAAGTATAGCACTTTTTTGAATCATATATCTTATTTATATCAAGTAATTTTATATCTTTATATTATATTATATATAATTATAATCTTCTCATTTATACTCAAATATATAAATTTTTTATTTCGTACATTTTTTTCATAAAAACCATTTTATTATAATAACACATATTAATAGATAGATGAGTAATGATAATATATGAATATAATTATTTGATTAAAATAATTAATTTTCAACATGTAAATCATACTATGATTCTCGAGATATTTTTAATTTATTTGTAGATAATTATATGGTTAAAATTAATCCATGTTGCTAAAGTGGTATCTCATTTAACGTGAAAACAAATAGATTAAGTTTTAGTATTATACAATTTCATAAAATTAATCTGGTCTTATGTATCGAAGAAATTGAATTGATTAGAAGTTTAGGTTGCAGAACAATCATTCAACAATTAATCTCGCATACTATTATACATTTTGTATAGGTTATTTTGAAAATAATGTTTCTATACTTTGTGGTCGTTATGAGAAAAAAACAATATCGATTTCTAGTTTTATAAGTGTTTATTATGCTTTTTTTGTTGGATCAATTTTAATTTCTTTAAGGAACTTTTATATATTAGAGTTATGAAATGTGATTACAATATTACCATTAAAATTATATTAAAAATAATGACGTTTTTGAAAACAACAATTCTATATCCTATCAAACAGTTTTAGAGATATGTGGAAGAAAATAAATTTGTGAGAAATAATGGTGCCAAACCAACATACTGTAGTTGATTTTAGGAGTGTGGAATGATTTATTCATGTATTTGTATTTAATTAATTAAATATTAGTTATAATTGAAAATATAAGATATGATGGACATTAATATATTACTAATTTGCCATTAAAAACATGTCAAAGTAAGAGTTTATTAGGTAATTCATTTTAATATTTAAAAATATAAAATATGATGTGTATTAGTGTATTACTAATTTGCCATTAAAAATATGGCAAAGTAAGGGTTTTTTTAGGTAGTTCATATTTTTACAAAAACACTCATCCTTTTAGAGTAGTATAGATAGATATAGATAGATAGATTGATTAACCAAACCAAACAAAAAATTCAATCAAATCCAAAAATTTTTATATCCAAGCATCCAAAGCAATTGTCTCGGATCAAATCGAGGACTCAGAGACATTCAGTACCATCATTCTCTCGTCACAACATGATTGAATACAAGGAAAGTAAAAATAGCGGCAAAAGATATCAAGATTTATTTAAGTTACCATCAGTCTTGGCTTGAGGCTCATTGATTGATCGTGGCATCACTGAATCTAAGATGAGAGGATGCACATGCCTTGAGCTTTGCATTAGGCTCTTCCTTTTCCTACGTCATGCAGCCTTCGAACTGTGTTGAACCAAGTTGAACTCATAGCATTTATATTTAACAAAACAAATTTAAACAAGCTATCATCAAAACATTCCTATATCCAAGACCTACCAAACGAGAAAAGTTTGTTGCTTAGGATCAACACTTGGCACCAACAATCTACAAAAATCATATTAAAAAAGTCGAAACAATTAAGAGAAATGCAATAAGAACACCATCTCCGGCAAATATTGATGTTAGCAAATAAAACTCTTACACGTGGATTCCCTCACCACATCTTTTTACCTTACATGCATGGCACATGTTCCTCTATTTTCACCTATATAGTACAAGAGCCGTTGCTCTCCAATTTGTCACCATGCACAGCTCATCACGACCTGGTTTTCCCATCTTACCCATTCTAGATAATTCTTAGATAGCTATATAAGAAAGGAGCCTTGTATACAAACCCTAATGAGAAAGCTTTGAATGCACAGCAGCTTTACCATTTTGTTTCCTATTATTGTTAAACATTTTCTTGCTTAAACCGAAAGTATGATTTGTTTTGTCTCCAACATGGTATCAGAGCAGGGATAACTTGCTTTGATCCATTGTTGAAGAAATGGCGACACATTCCAGTGCATCAACACATAATTCTAACCTTCTCTCTGCCAACCAGCCCATTCAACTTCACAACCAGCTCATCTCGTTCAAACTCACCGATGAGAACCATTTAATCTGGAGGCAACAAGTTCTTACCACAGTCAGAGGCTATGGATTAGAAGGTTACCTTGATGGATCCACACAAGCTCCTACCAGATTCATACCAGGAGCAGAAGAGGGCCTACTTCAAGTGAACCCAGATTTCACCTTATGGCAGAGGCAAGATCAACTTCTTGCATCATGGCTACTCTCCTCCTTATCAGAATCAATCCTCATCTCAGTTGTGGGGCTAAGCAGCTCATCTCAGATCTGGCAGAGCTTAGAATCCAGCTTCTCAACGCAGTCAAGGGCAAGAACCATGCATTACAAGATGCAACTTCAGAATCTTAAGAAAGGAAGCCTAAGTATCAGGGAATATGTGAACAAGGTTAAGATGTGTTGTGACACTTTAGCAGCTGGAGGTCATAGGATCTCAGAGCAAGATCAGATTATGCATGTGTTGAGTGGATTAAACTCTGAATATGATGCAGTGGTAGTGAGCATAAACACCAGATCTGAACAGCTCACTATGATGGATGTGATGTCTCTACTCCTCACCTATGAAAGCAGACTCCAAGCCACTTCTGTAGTCAATGAGAGCATCACTCTACCCTCAGCTAACATAGCAGCTCAAGAGCATAAGCCCTCACACAACCAATACAATGGAAGAGGAAGAGGCAGCCATCAAGCTAATAGAGGGAGAGGAAGAAGTGGCAGAGGAAGGGGAGGCCGAGGCTACAAAGTACAGTGCCAAATTTGTGGCTACACCAACCACTCAGCAGACAAGTGCTACAACAGATACAATCCTGATTTTGTGCCACAACAAAGGAGCTTCAATGAAAGCAAAGGTTCTACTCAGTCTTCAGTACTATTTGCTGCAAAGGACAACAATCCTGAAATTGACTGGTACCCAGACTCAGGTGCTACACACCATGTCACAAATGATTTCTCAAACTTAAGTGTGGCCTCAGATTACACTGGTCAAAACAAGCTTCAAATTGGAAATGGTAGTGGACTGGACATCTCTCATGTTGGTAAGGGTTCTTTCTTTAGCCAAACAAACTATCACACCAAGCACCACACTTTTAAATTGAATAATCTTTTACATGTGCCTGAGATAGCCAAAAATCTGATTAGTGTTGCTCAGTTTGCAAAAGACAATCATGTGTTTTTTGAATTTTTCCCTATTTTTGCACTGTGAAGGATCAAGTTACAGGGCAGCCTCTTCTCAAAGGGACCCTTAAAGACGGTTTATACACCTTCAAGCTTAGTAGAGTCAATTCCAGAAGTCAAGAAGATCAAGTAATGGATAATAAGTCTAGGAAATTTGTCACTGAGAAAGATGATGGTGTTGATGTTCCTGTCAGACAGGTTTATGTTGCTAGTACTTCTAAGTCTATTGAGCTTTGGCATAAAAGATTAGGTCATCCTTCTTTTGATGTTACTAGGAAGGCTTTAGATGATTGTAATCTCCCTTATGTCAATAATAAAATTCCTTTTTGCTCAGACTGTGCTATTGCTAAATCTCACAAATTACCTTTTCCTCAGTCTTCTCATGTCTCTCAGCATCCTTTACAACTTATTCATACAGACTTATGGGGACCAGCTCCCATAAAGTCCACTTCAGGAAGTTTATACTATGTTGCATTCATTGATGACTATTCCAAGTACACTTGGATTTATTTTTTGAAACACAAATCAGACACCCTCACAGCCTTTGTTCATTTCAAAAACTTTGCTGAAAACCAACTAAGTCAAAAGATCAAAATGGTCCAAAGTGATGGAGGCACAGAATTTAAACCTTTAACCTCTTTGTTCAGTGAAGCTGGAATACACCATAGAATCTCCTGCCCACACACACCTCAGCAAAACGGCTTGGTAGAAAGAAAACACAGGCAAATTGTTGAGGTGGCCCTATCATTGTTTTCCCAGTCTAATGTCCCAAAAAGGTTTTGGGAAGAAGCCTTTAGCTCAGCAGTGTACTTGATAAACAGAATACCCAACAAAACCATTTCTTTTAAATCCCCATTTTCTCAGCTTTTTGGTCATTCTCCAGATTACAACCACCTTAAAATTTTTGGTTGTGCAGCCTATCCTCACCTTAGACCTTATGTGCATGACAAGTTGGATTTAAGATCTCAACAAGGGGTCTTTTTGGGTTTCACTTCCCAGTATAAGGGTTACAAGGTGTTGTTGAAAAACCACAAAATCATATTGTCAAGGGATGTAGTCTTCAATGAAAATGTTTTTCCTTATAAGATTTCTATGCAAACTGAGCAATCTAATCAAAACACACACCAGAATCCCTCATGTTTTACCCCACCTATTCTTCACGAGGACCCACATATCTCCACTCTCAACCAAAGTAACAATCAAACTGCCACTAATGACATGCCCAACAGTCCTCATTCTACTGAACAACACACACCTATACATTCTTCCTCACCTATTACTGCCACCTCACCTATTACTACCAACTCACCTCAAACCACCAATCCTTCCCCACCTCCAACTCCCAACAATACAACTACCATAAGTGAAGAACCAGTCCAAAACCAACATCACATGGTTACCAGATCCAAAAGAGGTATCTTCAAACCTAAGGTCTATGCCAGTTCCTTCATTGCAGATGAGCCTCCAGATGTTAATGCAGCTCTCATCCATCCAACATGGAAGAAGGCCATGGATGAAGAATATGCAGCCTTGATAAAGAACAAAACCTGGGATGTTGTACCATTACCACCTGGCAGAACCTGCATTGGTTGCAAATGGGTGTTCAAGACCAAATATAATGCTGATGGGATAGTCTCAAGGCACAAGGCTCGACTAGTTGCCAAGGGATACACACAAGTTCCAGGAATTGATTTTCATGAAATCTTTAGTCCAGTAGTCAAGCCAGTGACAGTCAGATTAATTCTTTCTATAGCTTTGGCTAAGGACTGGCAGATAAGGCAGTTAGACATTGACAATGCCTTCTTGCATGGCACTTTGGATGATTGTACTGACATCTACATGGCAGAACCACCAGGGTTTGAACAATATCCAGGAGAGCATTATGCCTGCAAGCTTAAAAAGGCCATTTATGGGCTCAAACAGGCTTCTAAAACTTGGTTTGACAAACTGAAGATGGTCCTTAGAAACTTTGGTTTCAAATCTTCTCTTGCTGATGCCTCTCTCTTTGTTAAAAAGTCTCCCTCATCTATTCTTTATCTTATTGTTTATGTGGATGATATGGTCATCACAGGCAGCTCTTCTGTTGAAGTTCATAATGTGATTAAAATGTTGTCTCAAATTTTTCCTCTTAAAGATCTTGGTCATCTGCATAATTTCCTCGGTATTGAAATCACTTACACTAAAGATGGCATGCTTCTCACTCAGCAGTCCTATATTAAGCAGATTTTACACAAGGCAAAAATGCAGGGATCAAAGGGTTTGTCAACCCCTATGGTATCTTCTCCTCCATTATCCAAGTTCAATGGCTCACCTTTTGAAGATGGATTGTTATACAGGCAAATGATCGGAAGTTTACAATATTTAACCATCTCTAGGCCAGACATTACCTTTGCTGTGAACAAGCTGAGCCAATTCATGCAATCTCCTCTAGATTCTCCCTGGAAATCAGTAAAACGGCTCCTCAGATACCTATCTGGTACTTCAGATTTTGGTTTGCACCTCACAAAGTCTCCACACCTCAATGTTTCAGCCTTTTCTGACTCCGATTGGGCAAGTGATCCTGACGATCGAAAATCTACTTCCGGTCATTGTGTATTTGTTGGTCGGAACCTAATTTCCTGGAGTTCAAAAAAACAGCACACGGTTTCCAGAAGCAGCACCGAAGCCGAATATCGTAGCTTAGGTCATGCTGTCTCAGACGTGTTATGGATCAAGACGCTGCTCCAAGAACTTCACGTGCCACAATCATCTTCACCCACAATTTGGGTGGACAATCTCAGCGCTGTCTTCATGTCATGTAACCCTGTGATTCAAGGTCGCACTAAGCACATCGAAGTCGATCTTCACTTTATCCGAGAGAAGGTGTTGAATAAATCCATTTCCGTGCTTCATATACCAACAATGGATCAAGCAGCCGACATCCTCACCAAACCGCTCTCTGGCCAGCTCTTCGCTCGCATGAGGAACAAGCTTCATGTGTTTCCTCTCAGCTCGCTTGAACTGCGGGGGGGTGTTAGCAAATAAAACTCTTACACGTGGATTCCCTCACCACATCTTTTTACCTTACATGCATGGCACATGTTCCTCTATTTTCACCTATATAGTACAAGAGCCGTTGCTCTCCAATTTGTCACCATGCACAGCTCATCACGAGCTGGTTTTCCCATCTTACCCATTCTAGATAATTCTTAGATAGCTATATAAGAAAGGAGCCTTGTATACAAACCCTAATGAGAAAGCTTTGAATGCAAAGCAGCTTTACCATTTTGTTTCCTATTATTGTTAAACATTTTCTTGCTTAAACCGAAAGTATGATTTGTTTTGTCTCCAACAATTGATTTCTCTTGTTGAGTACCTACTTTAGAATCAGTTGCAGTAAAACAATGTTATTTTCAATTCACCAAGCTATATATTGCATTATTGATAGTTGTACCTTCGGGCAGGGAAGACAGAATAAAAGGGGCCACAATCCACTTTTGTTTACCGATCGGCTCAGGATTGTAAAATTGCAATTTTAGTCCTAAGATCTGAAAATTTTGCTATTTTGTTCTATAAATTAAAAATTTTGTTGCAATTTCAGTCCGCAAAGTACTAAATTATAGGATCCAAAGGCAAAAAGTTGAAATCTTGAGACTAAACATGCTATGGCGTTAAACCAGCAGTACTAAAAATACAATTTTGCCTCTGCACTTATGTTTCATTATTGATACAGAGATTTTTGTCATTGGAAGTTCTTCCAATTGGTTGATACAGAATTAGACCTCAGATCTCCATTATCTAGTGTCTTAACAGATACATTCACTGCTTGAAATTCCTTTGTTACCTACATGTTGTCATAAAAACATAATAGAAACTCAAGCACAATATGAAATTAAATTCTTTTAAAACTAATTGAGTTTACCAACCCAAAATTCAAAGTTGAAGAGGTTGTCAAATGACATCTAAGCCCTGTTAAAGTATTGAAACAATAGTTCAGAACCTTTAGCAACAAGACATGAGAAGTGAGAACATCAAGTTGGGCAGTACCTTCAAGCTTGCACATTTTACCAAATAGAAAGGGCATCTCAAGTGTCCTCCGTCATTGTATATGTATATAATAATAAGTCAGGTTTCTTCAAGAATTTAGCAGCAACATTTAACGATGGAAAACAAAGGCCACATGAAAAACTACTCACCATAACAGACAATCAGCAACTAATTTTATTCTTATCATCTCATACCCTCCGTGGAAATTGGAGGTAGACCGGTCTCAAGAGTACTATTAAATGCCCTAATTTAGTAAATATTTATTTAAATATTAAATAAAATTTATTTTAAATTAAATGAGGTAAAACTTAGTATAAAATCCAACATCAATTAATGGTAAAAGTTAAATAAAACAAGATATATAAATAATATAATATTACTTATTTATTTAATTTACAGCTTTTGATTTCCTAATTATTACATATTTAATAAATAAATTAAGTATAAGTTTTATAATTAAAAGTGACATAAAATGAGTTAGTATTATTATTATCCCCTCCTCCTACATATTAATTCAGAACGTGTTGAGCTAAGTGGCAGACTCGCATACTTCAGAATCTTATGTGGCAAAATTACATAGGCTTGGATAGATTTTAATTTACTTCCAATCTAAAACTAATTAGTTCCGGATTATCCATAAATATGTTAATTATTTATGGTCATGTTATATGTATTAATTGCATTTTAATATCATTTCTTATTATAACCATTGAATTGTAAATGTATTTTAAAAGTTAATAACTTTTGTATTTTTTATCAGTTTTACATATATAATATATCAAATTAATCATCCCTTGATGAGCTTCGATCTAACATCCATATTGTATGTATAAAAAAATTAAATTATATTTATCTTTATAACAATAATAAAAATGTTTTTTAATATTAATTACAAAAATAAAATTATTTATCAATCAATAAATTTATATTTCAAGTAGTTATATGATATAAGTTATAAAAATTACTATAATATAACAAATGTAAGTCGCACAAGTAATGAGTGTCATTCTAAAAGATATAATAATATATATATTTTTTTGTAAAAAAGTAAATAAAATTTAAAATAATTTTTTCCATTAATTTTAAAATTTAAGAATAATTTTTTGACAAGCACCCGTGTAATACGGGTGTTGTACTAGTTTTTTAGCTAAAACGATATAAGTAGATATATAATTAAGTCAAGTATTTAACATAAAATGTTGTAGTTCAAGTGGCTAATGCTCTTCATTTTCATTTTGTAGCAAGAGGTCCAGTTTTTGAATCTTTCTTTTGGTCATTTTTTGGCTTTTGGTCATTTTTTGGATAATTC